GCCGAATCATTGAAGTAACGGGAGGAAAGGAGTTAGTGCAGGTGCCAAAATTAGGCATCACTGACATGGTAAGAAGTATGTCTTCCCACTGCCAAGAAGTTTACCCAACGCCTCCTTCATGTCTCTGTTTCTTAAGCTGTAGATGAATGGGTTTAGCATGGGAATGACCACCATATAAAGAATGGCAGCCCTACTGTCCCTCTCTGTAGAGTTCATTGATGGAGGAAGTAAATACACACCCATCAGAGACCCGTAGAAGAGCAGGACCACTGTGAGATGAGAACCACAGGTCGAGAAGGCTTTCCACCTCCCTCCAGGTGAGGAAATGCTAAACACAGCGCAGGAAATTTGGGCATAGGAGAAGACAATTAGCATGAGGGGAGCAGTGAGAAACAGCAGGCCCATGGTGATGATCATCAGCTCATTAATGTGTGTATCAGAACAGGCAAGCTTTAGTAGGGCACTGGGGTCACAGTAGAAATAGGGGATGGCTTTCTGGGCACAGAAGGCCAGACGGGTCAGCAACAATGTGTGCATCAGGGCAGGGCAGTTGGTTAGCAGCAAGCACATGCCCAGCATTAGTGCACAGAGCTGGGGACTCATGGCTGTGCTGTAATGGAGTGGCTGACAGATAGCCACATAGCGGTCATAGGCCATCACAGCCAGGAGGAAGTTGTCAAGGCCACCAAAAAAAAGAAGAAAATACAGCTGTGTAAGGCACCCAGAATAGGAAATGATCTGGCTCTGACTATAAATGTTGACCAGCATTTTGGGGATGGATGCAGAAGTGAAACAGGCATCAGTTAATGAGAGGTTGGCCAAAAAGAAGTACATAGGAGTGTGAAGCTGTGGGTCAGAACTGACGGCTAGGATGATGAGCAAGTTCCCCACGATAGTGATCAAGTACATGCCCAGGAAGATGCCGAATAGGAGAGGCTGCTGCTCTGGCTGCTCAGAGAGTCCTAGAAGGAGGAAGTCTGAAACCATGGTTTGGTTCACTCTGCCTGGCCTCCCCATTCCTTGTAGACCTTGTTATCTGTGTAGATATGCATCAATATTTAATTATGTATCAATATTTAATTATGAATTCACATATGTGTATCTACTACTATCTGAGTTATCAGAACTGTGGTGTGACAAAAAGGAGAATAACTGCTACTCTCAGTTTGAATCTTTGGGTCTAGAGAAAAGATTCACTAGAGAAGGCAGTGTAAGTTATTTGGAGATGGTGAGCCTTGGACATGGCCTAGATAGCTAGATATAAGAAGCCATTTATAATTGCCAATTGGAAACGAGTTTTATGCTCTCCATCAATTTATTTGCCCATCTCCCACTAATGGACACATAGACAAACACAGACACACAATCGTGTTCTGTGTGGGAATTGGGGAATAACTTTGAATGATAAAATGCTCTTTTATTTCTTGCCTCTCAATATCTAAAACGCCATCTCACCCTTTTAGCCCCAGTCCCTGTGGTCTTCCATAACTGGAGGCATAAGCTATGTGCACTGAGCACAGTGAGGATCTTGGTATCCTCTTATCTCCAGCCACTGTTAGGACATCCTCTCTATAAACAAGAAAGAGACCACCATCTATTACTCTCTCTCCATTAGCCCTGCCTTTCCTTTTGCGTCTCTGTACCTCTCTGCACTGGGAACTTATAGTTTCGTTCGCCAGACCTCTTGGGCATCATCATGATTAGTACTTATTTACAAAGCCTTGCTATGTGCCAAACACCTATTATATTAACGCCACAATTATCCCAATGATGAAAGTGAGTCTCAGAGATATCATCTCATGTATCCAAGATCATTTAGCTAGTCAAAGATTCAAAATATAAATCTGCACTGGACTCTAAAACCTTTGCTTCTCCCTACAGTCTACTCTAGTTGTATGGCTGATATTTACTCCTTATTAGAAGTAAATTCCGATATTTATTCTTATTAGAGAGTGGGAAGTTGGGGGGCGTGGGTGGAGTGGGGAGGGCTCTGTCTCTTTGGACTTAAAAATAGCTGCTCTTATGTTCCATTGTACAGAAGGTCACTATGAGTTAGAGGTGACTGGACAGCACCAAGCAATATACAGGATTTAAAACAAGCTGGTCTGAACCTTCAGCGTATATTGACTTTATAGAAGCTTTGACAGTTGAAGCTTTTGTAGATATTTTTGTCCTTCATTATTCATTGGCTCATAGGAGGGACTTCTGATTTTAGTCAGAGATTCGGCTTCCCTATCACCTGTTGCCTAGACCTTTCAAATCCTTACCTGTCGGGATATGGGTCCGTGAAGTTCTCCAGCATGTGAAGTTCTCCAGCGATCTCTTCTGAATGGAAAATTCACAATGAGGAACTCTCTGGGAACTTTCAGAAACAATAAAGTTGGGATCTATTGAGCCCAGAGTTGATTAGGACAGCTCAGGGGTGTGAGACTCATTTTCATCTTCCCCAAGCCTAAGAAGGCAGGAGTATTTTGGGGGGTTATAAAGCCTCCTGGGACCAACAGGATTCATTAGAGTCACCTTCAGTGTCATCATTCAGTCAGTTCTCCAGCCAGCTCGTGCTGGCTCCTGGGGGAGCAGAGGGGATCTCTTTCCCAGGGGTTAACTTACTCGATGTGGGTCTCAGGAGTGTGATTCTGGGGCCTCTTGCTTGGATGGAGCACACTTGATCCTAACACACAGGCCTCCTGGGAAATTTCAGGTACTGGGCAATTTAGTGCCTGCCCTTTGCCCTAGGATTGAGAAGAAATTAGGAACTTACATTATTACATGAGCATTTTTGCTGGCCATCTCACAAAACAAAACAAATCTAATATAAGTTACTACCCAAACAAATCACAAACTCTTTCAATTAAATAAGGCAGACCAAGGAAATGCAATGAGATTTAAAGTCAGGAAAGATGTGAATCAGGGTTGCATCGTTCCACCATGCTTATTCAATGGGTATGCTGAGCAAACAATAAGAATGACCCTAAGTACAACAGAACAAAATACTGCCCTGTACATGAGGAAGAGCACTGCATCATGATTGGAGAAAGACTTGTTAGCAATTTGTGATATGGAGATGGCACACACCTGTAAACTGAAAGCAAGCAGAACTTGCAGAACTTGCTGATAAAGGTCAAAGATGTCAGCCTTCAGTTGGGATTGCCACTCAATGTAAAGTGAACCTAACTCCTCACAACTGGACTAATAGACAAAATCATGGAAACAGAAAAGATGGAAATTGTCAAGAATTTCATTTTGCTTAACTCCACCATCAATGCTCATGCAGCAGCAGAAATCAAGAAATTAAATGATGTGTTGCATTGGGCAAATCTGCTGCATCTGGGCTCCTCTCAGGATGGACCAGTCCTTCATTAAAGACATCATGTTGGTAATGCAGAGGGTCAGCAAAATGAAGAACCCCCACCCCCATAATGAGAATGGATCGACACAGTGCTTGCAATAATAAACATAAATATAACAATTAGAAGAATGGCACAAGACAGGGCAGTGTGATACATATGAATCAGAACTAACTGACTGGACAGCACTACACACACATACACACGACACCAGCCATCAAGTGAATACATAGTAGCTGCTAAAAGGAATTACTCACATCTCCTGGGTTTCTACTAATACTACTCACTGCTCCAACTCACAGAGACCCTGTAGTTATGGTAAAAACTGGCCTATGGGGTTTCTAAGGCTGCCACAACTTTCTCTTGCAGAGTAACTGATAGGTTCCAACCGGTAGCCTTCTGGTCAGCAGGCAAGCACTTAACCACTATGCTACCAGGGTTCATTTCTATTAATATGATGTACTTCTTATCGTGTACTTTCATTAAGTAATCTCAAGTAAATCCCCCAAACTCAGGACAGGCCATCCCCCACCCCAAAAAAGACTCCAGCTTCCCTTCCGCCTGGAAAGAAGGGTCCCAGCTGTCCCCACTCCCTGGTGAGGAAGACCTGGGATGGCTCTGCATGCAGGCAAAATAAAGCCAACTACTCATAAACAACCCAGCAGCCCTCCCAGTATTAACAACTGCACCGTGATGCTGCAGAAACAGCAGTCAAGGGTGGTCCATACAGAAACAACAACAAAATAAGAAAAGCAGGCACAAACAACTGAAGAACCCCCAGATCCAATGTAATATTCTAAAGAAAAGGCTCTGGACCTACCAGAAACAGGAATCAGAAAAATGTTGTTCAGGTACTTTCAACAGATGAAAGAAATGTTTGAGAGAACAATGAAAGAAAAGAAAAATTAGAACCCTTATGCCAAATATAACTCTAGAAGACAAAAAATAAGAAAATAGAACTACAGCATGGTAAAAGAGCTGAGTAAGCAAACGGAAAACATGGGAAGCCGAATTAGTGGCCTTGAAAATAATTCCCTTGACGACAACTGACAAGAGAAACAATCAACAAAAAGAGCAAATGAACAGGAAGAAAACTTAAGAATTATGTGGGACATTATAAAGAGGAGCAGCCTACCTCTTATTGGGACTCTGGAGTAGGAAGAAACTAACAAACAATACAAACTTGACAGAGAAAATAGTAAAAGAAATCACGGAACAAAACTTCCCTAACACCACACAGGAAAAGAAAATTAATTATGCAAGAAGCTGAGATAATCCAAATAAGATAGACCCCAAGAGAAAAACATGTGGCATACTGTAGTCAAATTTCCCAACATCAAGGACAAAGAGACCCCTGAGAGCAGTTGGAAGGGGGTGGGAATGGGGGCGTGGGACAGTCACCCCGAGGAAAGTCAATGATAAGCTTATTTCTTAGCAGAAACCACACAGGCAAGAAGACAATGGGATGATGTATATAAAACTCTGAAAGAACAACTGCTAACCAAAGCTCTTATGTCCAGGAAAACTATCCCTCAAATACGAGGGAGAAATAGGGTATTTCTTGGCCAGGTGAAATTAAATAAATTTGTGAAAGCAAGACCAGCATTACAAAAAATTAATAACAGGAGCACATTGAACAGAAAATCAACAACAGCAGATAAACATAAGAGGAACCTAAAAGACAACACCACCCAGAAACCGATGCAGAAAACAGTATTCAAAATAGCACAAAAATACAGGCAGAACAAAGAAACCACACATATATACGTAGCAAAACGGCAGCAACAAGCCCGATGTATCAATAATGATATTGATGTTAAAAGATTAAATGCATCATGCAAAAGATACTGGAGAATGAAAGTAAATGTTAAAAAATTAAATGCACCCAAAAGTAAGATACTGGAGAAGAAAATTTAGTCCATCAATATGCCCCCTGTGTTAGTCCAGGTTGACTAAAGAAGCAAATCTAGGGAGGCTCATATGTGTATAAGAGAGAAATTTATATCAAAAGTGTAATTGTACATTAAGAAAACACCCCAGAGTGCGTTACTTACCTCGACTCTTAGCTTGTCGGGGACGGTAACCGGAGCCCGCAGCCCGCTCCCGCCGCGTTCCCCTTCGCCTCCCGCTGCATCGCCAGCATGCGTGAGTGCATCTCCATCCACGTCGGCCAGGCCGGTGTCCAGATCGGCAATGCCTGCTGGGAGCTCTACTGTCTGGAACACGGCATCCAGCCCGATGGCCAGATGCCCAGTGACAAGACCATTGGGGGAGGGGATGACTCCTTCAACACCTTCTTCAGTGAGACGGGCACTGGCAAGCATGTGCCCAGGGCAGTGTTTGTAGACCTGGAGCCCACAGTCATGGATGAAGTTCGCACTGGCACCTACCGCCAGCTCTTCCACCCTGAGCAGCTCATCACAGGCAAGGATGCTGCTGCCAACAACTATGCCCGTGGGCACTACACCATCCGGCAAGGAGATCATCGACCTCGTCCTGGACAGAATCCGCAAGC